AAGCAAGTGATGAGAGTCTTCTTTGATTGACGTTGCACCTTGATGGCCTTGGCAACTTTCCCCTGTTCTATCCAGGTGCGGCACTATCGCAAAGGTGCAAAATTGGTGAACTACTACATTCTGGATAGATTGCACTTCTTTAAGTATCCCCTTTACTTTGCCATTGTTGGACTTGTAACCCTTTTGATAAGGCTTGATGCATGAATCGGTTGATCCATTCTTAAGCTTCTTCACCATGTCTTCATGGTTATCTTGAGAAGGTTGAGCATTGCACTTGCCCTTCCATTGAATCAAGTCCCTTTTTAGCATTTTAACTTCTTCCTTGAGCTGTTCATTTTCTTTTGCAATGGAATCATCACAAGTTTCTACAATTACATGCTCAACGGAAGGTTGGCTTGCTTGAGAGCAACACTTGTTAGCACATGATAAAATAGATGGAACTTGTGTATATGTGCATTTGTAAGTGTGAGGTTGGTATGATTTTACCGTTGTTACCACAACCTCATGAGCAACTTCTAGCATGAGATGAGACTCTATAAGCTTCTCATGAGAGCACAAAAGCCCATCATGACTTTCTTGCAAAGTCTTATTTTTGCTAGTAAGCCTTTCCAACTTGTCTTTGAGCATATAATTCTGATCTTCTAATTGAGCAACACAAGATAGAGAGTTAATAGTATGAGTTTGCTCAATTGACAAGTTTTCATACCTTTGGACCAAGCTAGCATGAGAGCACTTAAGCTTTTCATGCTTTTTAGTCAACTTCTCCAAGCATTTGATCTTTTCAACGAGAAGCTCTTCTTGCTTGTAGAGATCTTCTTCTTGCTCTTGAATCTTCTCTATGAACTTGATCACTATCAACTTGTCTTTCTTGCTTAGACGTGCAAGGTGTTGGTTGATCTCATCATCATCACTACCACTGTCACTGTCACTCTCACTTGCCACTTTCTTCTCTTTCTTTGCCATGAGACCGATATGTGAAGTGGTATAGAGAGTTGAGCTTCTTGGTAAGGTGGATTCATCATTTGGCTTCCACCGATCACAAGCTTCTTCTTCCTTCAAAATGTTAGTCTTATAAGAACTAAAGAAAGTAGAAGTACCACATGTAAAAAAATTGTTCTCACCAACTATTTCATTACCATCCAATAAGTCATATGTTGACGAGGAAGTGGATGTGGCATGGTCAAATAGGCCTTTTGAGAGAATCACTTGAGGCTCATCATTTGTCGATGAAGTTGAGCATTCCTCAAGTGATTTTTCCAATGAGAGGTTGCTCTTTTCACATTTGGAGTTGCCATACATTTCCTTGAGCGTGGTCTAAATGATATGAGCATCACCAAGTGGTTTACCATCTCCAAATATGACAGCATCAAGTACATCTTCACTCAAAGCACTAAATAAGACATTAGTAGCTTGAGCATTGAGTTGTAAGCATTTCGCTTCCTCTCTAGATAGGTAGATCAAATCATCATGAGGAGGTGAAATGCTCACATCTACAACCTGCTCTATTTGAGGACCCATGGTCCTAAAAACATCAAGCACACTAGCAGACCACGATGTATAATTTGAGCCATCTAAAAGTAAAAGTTCTAGAGATACCTCCTCACTTGTCGACATCGTTCTCTCAAGGCGGTTAAGCCCGAAATTGAGAGCCAGGCTTTGATACCAATTGAAAGGACCTTGATGTCGCCTAAGAGGCCTAGAGGGGGGGTGAATAGGCCTGTAAAAATTCAACTCGAAACTCTGTTAGAGCAGAGGGCGGCACTGCCGCTCTTCAAAAATAAAGCAGACAACGTTGAGATTTCACAGATAGTAACCTGACCCTCTCAGCTGCTCAATCCTGCAACAGAAAGACAAAATCTAGTTCAAAGACTGGATACCACAGAAATCTCACACAAGAGAGGATCGAGCTACCAAACCCTAACAACAGCTAGCAAAGAGCTGAACCAGCAAGAACACAAAGTGAAGCACGTGAGACACAAAATTTATCCCGTGGTTCAGCTCGCCACCAAGGCTTGCCTAAGTCCACGTTGTTGAGGTATCCACAAAAGGATTGGCTCGCCACCAAGGCTTGCCTTGCCCTCGTTTTCAAATCAAGAGAATGAACTCTTGAAGTGAGGGGTAATTTCTTAGCTGCAGGATGAGGTTACAAACCTCACAAGGCTGCCACACGAGTTGGCAAGCACAAGGGCAACGCCTAGCCAGCTAGGAGCAAGCTCCAAGAGTAACAAACCCTAGAACCACCGACCAAACGTGAACCAAATGCTCTTAGACTTTGGGAATCAGTGGATCTGCTCTTCAATCGAGTTTTGCTACCTTTTCTCTCAAGTTTTGATGGTGGAAATGAAGGATTGCTTGGGAGCTTGAAGGAGCAACAATGGAGGAGAGAGAGGTGAGCTTTGGTCTGTTCAGTTTTGAACTGAACCGTTGGAGAAGAAGGCTCTACGTAGTGGGCCGGCCCAAATAGTATTTATACCTCTTGGGTCTCAATGGTCGTTTATGGGCAAGATCGTCGCCTCATAGGGCTAAGATCGCCGCCCTAGCCAAAACAGTAGAATCGTAAGATTTTTGGTTTGGATGCTTTGGTGGGTAAGAGGATGTAGATCTGAAGTTTTGAGCATCCGTTGCACAGCTTGACCAACCTGTATTTAGAATCCTCTTTATAGTACGGCTTTTCCTAAACTCAAATTCAAAGCATAAAAGAATGTAAATGCCTTTGAGCTACTTGCCACTTCATTTGGCAATTGAGGACTTCTATTATCGAATATGTTTTCCTCATCCTCATTATACCTTGATTATGTGACTTGAACCATTTCCATACATATAAGTTTATCTTCATGGCTTCAAGTCACTTCCACTAATGATTTGATCCTCAACACAATATGACTCCTCACAGCTTGATTAGTACCTTGACTCAATGCAAGTACTCTCTTCTTCACCTTAGCCATGGTACCTCAGTCGCCAAGCCGTCGCTTGCCCTTCACCTTCGCTTAGTACCTCGAAGCCCTTTCCTTGCTATCTTCACCCTATCAAGCCATACTTAAGTCACATTGTATTAAGCATCCATTGAAAAAATTTTCTTCAATATTTTGATCCTTGCTTGAATATTTTCTAGATATGAATGTTGAGATCAATCAAGCTTCAGTTTGTCTCACACAGAGACATACATGGATCAATATTAATATGGTCAAGCTAATTCACGATTCCTTATTTCCTTCTCATTTTGGCTTGACATTCTAATTGATCTTTCATATATTCATCCATGTAAGCAAACCAATGTAGATATCGACTTATATCCACTATACATTGTCATTTACCAAGTATGTTTGCTTTCACATGATGCTATGATATCTCACAACATAGAAGCCATTTCATTGATTCCATTTGTATTGTTGTCTTTTGCTTGAACTAGATTGCTTCCAAAAACTTCCAATACAACAATACACAGTTTGGCATTCACTTTAACATAATGTGGCATATCATCAAGTTTGCCTACCAGTTAAACCTTGTATATACTTGTTAATACACAACCCACAAGTATATGCAATAGACTCAATTTTCTGTTCAACACTTAGCAAACTTATTAGACCTTTAATTATGTTGTCATTCAATTTACCTAAACCCACTAAAGGGCTAGATGCACTTACAATTTTTTTATGGGACCATTTCACCTTTGTATTTGGTTGAAGGGATAAGTTCATCCTATTTTTTTTGTTTGATTGGAGAAATTTAGAAGGATGGATGACACATATTTTTCACACCGTTAGCCATCATTATCAACCAATCCCACTTGTCATCGGTGCCTCCACCTTTCATACTCCCTTGAAAAATTTCTCATTTTTCTTTTTTTGCATGTTTATCTTCTCCGCATGATCGCACGGGGAGCACATCCTCCTAGGCATCTGGCCATCGACCTACGCATTCTTACCGGCCCGCTCCTGTGTCTCCAAGCATGTGTGCAATCTTTAAGCTCGAGTCATGCCGAGGAAGCAACATATGCTTGGCGGCTGGAGAGTCCAACCTCCTCTATCTTGTCGATCCCTCCGCTCCACCTGTCACCGCTCACCCATCATTGTCCACCCTATGCCACCCATCTCTGTGTTTGCGCGAGACGAACAAACAACAACGTCATAAAGAATACCTCATCCCTAGATTTTATAGGACGAAAATGATCCAAGTATGAGGGAAAACTTCTTCATAGGTGAATTTGCAAGAATAGGCCAGTCCCTCACCGGTGGCTTTCGGAACCAAACACGGTAAGTTAGGTGTGTTTGGCACTATGAGTCATTTCTGATTTTTATGAGAATCGGTAAAATCAAAGCTAAACAACTTAGCAGCAAAACGATCCTGCTCGAAACGGTTTAGAATGATTCACGATCTGATGGTTACATACATGAAATTGTGAAAACATGGTTTCAAGTGATTCTGATTCTTCCTTCTCATGTTGTATTTTTTCTAGTTAATATTTTTATGTATAATAGAATGGATTGTAATTAAAGTTGTTTTTTGTCCAAAAGAAGTTCAATATTTTAAAGCATATTTTATTTATATGATTCTTTTGAAAAATGTTTTTAATAGCATTTAGCCTACCGACAAAACAGACTCGTGAAGTATTCTTGAAATAATTTAAATTTGAAATGTTTATAGGAAACATGGATCCTACGGCACCTTGATGATTAGGACGAGACAAGATGTTCATATTTTGGCACTGTATATGCTGACACTTCGACCATGGGTAAAAAAAAGGATCTGTCTACTAATATGTCAGGTGATTTATGGTGATTGGTCACCCGAGTGATCCAGAACCATAAATCACTCGATTCTACCTTCAAACCAGAATCGAGTGATTTCAATCTGCAATCACCCGATTTTCAAAAAACACTAGATCCAACTTAACTTACTGCACTAAATTAACTTAATGTAGTAAATTAACTTGCTGCAGTAAATCTAGAAACTAAAAATGTAAACAAAGCAACAAAAAAGAAAACAATACGAAAATTAACTTATCGTAAAAAATGATCTCGAGAATTAAATCCACCAGCTAAAACATTAGAATCATGATCTTTAGCAACAGGAATTACATCATCAACAACATGTGCAGGCACTGACTGAGAAGAAGATTTCCCAACAAGATGACCTCGACAAACACTTTTATGAAAAAGATCATATGGCTGAGAAAGATCATTCGGAGGAACAGCTAAACCAAATGTAACTTGCTTCTTAGAAGATGAAGGAACACCTAATAATTTTTTTAAAAATAATAAATTAAAAACAAAAAAATATTACTAATGAAACACAAATATAAAGGAAAAAATATAAATAACTCACACTTGGAAGATGAACCGGAACAACACCCATGACACCACGACCTCTAAATTGAGTACCAACTGGAGTAGCAACTAATATAAACACATGAAATAAAACAACAAATTCAAACCCATCATTACTAAAACAAAACAATAGGCAATGGATGGGTACAGAAGATAACTCACCGAGATCCTTAGCCAAAGAAGAAGCTCTTTCAACTTTCTCAACATTAACCTATAGTTCACATGAATGAAAATTACAAATGACAAAACAATGTATAAATAAAAAAAGCATAAAAATAAACTGAAGTAATACCTGAGAATCATGAGGTTGATGAAAACCATTTACATTTCCTGATTCAGCAGCCATCTCAGGAGAAGCAATATGAGGATCAGAAGAACTTTCATAATCAGCAAACTCCTTCAAAACCTTAATAACTAATTCCTGTGACTTTTACTTAAATGAATATATATGATTCATCAATTTGGAGAACATGGTCTTCAAATCATCAGAAAGAGCACCAAGAGAGACCAAATCAACAGGAATACAAGGAAAACAACCCTTGCAATGTTCTTCAATGACATTCAACAAACTAGCCTTCAAACTGCTAGGCACATCACAACCACAAGATGCTTCAAGCTTAGACAAGAACTCAGCAACATCAGAAGCCTCAGAAATTGATTCTTGCTGAGAAGTCAAAGCCTATCAAACAAGAAAAAAATGTTAAAACATAAAAACATATAAACAAAAAATATGACCAAACAAAAAATACCTTGTGATAGCATGTCTTCTCAAAATCAAGAAGAGGCCTCATACCATAAACAGACGGAGATTTTATATCAAGATCAGAAAAATCCCTAATCATATTTTTGCTTCCAAACTCCAATTCGAGGAAAGGTATCAGATACATGGCGATGAGAAAAATCAACATTATCCAAATATATAGCCTTGCAAAAAAAATAGAAAAAGTAAAAAATTAGAATAAACTAATTCAAACACAATGATACAAAACTGAGAATTCAAAAAAAATAAAGACAATGCAAATAGACTAGAGATAACTTACAACAAAATAGAACATACATCCACCAAGAGTACCAAAACTTTTCTGACCATCTTTCTTTCCTTTGTTGAAACTCTTAACAACATCAAGCAACCAACGGAAAACAAACCCAGACCAGTCAAAAGAACTGATATGCTCAAGGTGTTCAAACACACCGAGGTAGCGAGGGCTCGGAACCAAATTAGAGTTTGGACAAAGGAAACAATGCAGAGCCACAACCAAAAAACAGATCAACACTACTTCATCAGTAAGATCATCGGCTGCCAACTTTTCAGCAAAGAAAGAAACATGAGGCAAAGAAGTCTTATCAATCTTAGATAGAACAATAGTTCTGCCAGCAGCATAATTGGAAGGAAAAGGAGTACCACCAACAGGAATACCAAGAACAAGATTCATAAATTTGGAAGTCAACGATATAACCTTCCCATGAACAATAAGATCTCCAGACTTCGACTCAACAAGAGACGCCAGCCACTTAGAAAACTTCTTAGGCACAAAACACTTGTCAAAAAGCAGTAGAGAGCCAAATCCATATCTCCTTATAACATCCTTTTTAGCTTCAGACAATGAACTAATGACAATAGCAAATTTATTGACAGACTGCCTAGTAAACCTATCAGACGAAGCCTTTGAAGATTTCTACTTCTTGAACTATATTAACAAAGAAAAAAATGTACAGTACTAAAAATAGAAAAGAAGAAAAATAAATAAATACCTGAGCTAGCAAAGCCACAGACAATTTACGCTTTAAGGCCCTGATCATACTGAAATAAGGACAAAAAATATAAAGTAAAAATAAAGATTTATACGAAGGGAATTTAAACACAAAAAATATAAATAATAATAATAGCTAATTAAATCTAAAAGGCCAATTCAAACAAATCTTTAAAAGAGATAGCAACTCTCATTTCACTAAAACAAAATACAAATTGCACTACCCTAAACCGGTAGCTTCATTGAAAAATATAAGGAAAGAAAAGAAACAAAAACATCTTCACTAATCAATGACATATTAAGTATAACAGATTAAACAGTAAAAATAAGAAAAGCACATAGAACGACAAAAGCAAAAAGCACTAAAATTCTAAAGGTGGTCAGATATTTGATTTTCTAAGATAACTAATCAATAACAAGCAAAATAATGACCATCCACAAATAGGAGTGACACAACATTGATGATCTAAGACCGACAACAGGAAACTCGATTACGGACTATAGCGGCACAAGATTGGCAACAATCAATAAAAAAGATCAATGTAAATGTGAATAAGATTTAAAATAGAGGGAGTGAAGCTTGGCATATGGATCTCAAGATCAGATGCGACCACCAAAGACAACAAAGACCTTGCGTAAATAAAATGAGGAATAACAACCTATAAAACCGAGCAACTAGCCACATACAAGTTTCACTATTGGAATTAAAAAACAAGTGAAATCGAACAGAGAAAAAGCAATGTACATGATGGATGATGGTACAAGAAAAACATACATCTTTCAAACATCGCTCATATAAAATTTTATTGAACCTCGAACAACTAAATCATCGATGAAGAATCCTAAAAATGACCAAAAACAAACATTATAACTAAAATATGTAAAACAATAAAATAAAACTAAACAAATAAAAAAAAACTTACCTCAGATAACATCTCAACATCAGAACCTGATTTATCACCAAAAGAATCATCATTAACATATTGAGAACACATCACATCATCACTCTGACTATCTTCTAAATCAACAAAATCAGCTTCAGAAGAAAAACCAGCAACTCGACGCTTTTTTCGACCTCTAGTATCCATCTAAAAAAAATTCAAGCATAACAAAGGATCAAAATAAGTAAAACTAACACAAAAGGATAGTCATTGCAAAAATACTACAAGATAATACATAAAGGATAGCTATTAATAGAGATCATTAATGAATTTAAACATGATTGCTTGACAAGTGACTCACAAAAAGTGAAATAAAACCAAAAACAAACTACAACTCTGAATAAGATGTAATCAACTAAACCTGACCTTAAAATGAAAATAAATTCTATAAACATGAACCTGAAATAAACATAAAAGCTAAAGACAATAAATGAAAAAAAAATGAAATCAAAAGTCGATATAACAAAAAAAAATTTCGTAAACTAAAACTCGAATATTAACTAAACTAACAAACTAAAAAACATGAACCTCGATAAAAAATTGAACTAGAACTCTACTAAACTTAACCTGAACATCGATTCAACTAAAACTAAAAATATATTGGTCTAAAAAAAGATTCTATTATTCTAAACTTGAATTGAAAATAGGATATACTCAAGTTAACCTAAACTTAAAATCGAAATAAATTCTAACAAATAATTGAATTTAATTTTTGTCGAATTTATCCTGGTCATATCGTTGAAAAATTTATAACATTCTACTTTTAGCTGAATTTATCCTAGTCATATCTTGAGATTAAGAAATCTAAAACTTAAATTGAACTAGAAAGGAAAACTAAACTGAACTAAGAGGATGATTCTGAAACTTAACTGAGACTAAAAATAAAATGACACAATAAGAGTAAACCTAAAAACAAAACTCAAATATGACCGAACGATGACTAAAAGTGAAACAAAACTAAAATGAAACGTAACTGAAATTAAAATAAACAGACACCTGAAGTAAGAGGATCATTCTAAATCTAAACAACTAACACATGAATCTAACATGAAGTAAGACAAAGGGATAGTCATTACAAATATATTATAAAAATTACATCAGGGAGAACTATTCGTACATATCAGAAATGATTTTAAACATAAATGCTTGACAGGTCACACACAAATGAAGAAATAAAAGAAAAAAATCATACTGAAACTCTGAATAAGATGTAGTCAACTTAACCTAAACTTAAAATGGAGATAAATTCTAATAAACAGAAACTGAACTAAACATATAAACAAACCACAATAAATGAAAAAATTGAAAATGAAAGAAAACCTGATATAACAATATAAATTTACAAAACTAAAACTCTAAATATTAACTACACTAACAGCTAACACACTGAAGCCTGATACAATTTGAACTTAAACTGAATACACGTAACCTCAACTTTAATTAAACTATAACTAAAAATAGATTATACTAAACAAAATTGAATGTTAACTTCAGTTAAAAAGAGATTCTATTAAAATAAACTATAACTGAAAATAGGTTGAACTCAACTTAACCAACACTTAAAATCAAAATAAATTATACAAAACTGACAATGAAGTAAACCTCATACTGAAACTACTACTTAAATTGAAACTAGAGCATCAAACAACATGACATAGATCAAGCAAACCATAACAACACATTCAGCACAAAAAAACGCATCACACTTACAAGAACAAACAGAGGTGCACAACGAAATAAAAAACATAGAAAAGGATAGAGAAACTTATACCTTATACCAGACGCCGATCCAATTTCCAGATCAACACGCCGACTGAAAAACAAGACAATGTAGCTCCAAAACGACCAAGAATACACCAAACATATACAAATAAATTTGATCAGAATGAAACATACACCGATACAATCAACATCCGCAACAAAAATAAGAAAACTATTAACATAAATGAACGAATCCTAGCACCATGGACGATCCAAGATCCAGGTCAGCAGCAAACCTAAACACGAACAGATCAGAGACCGCCATAGAAAAGGGGAACAACAACATCCGATCAAATCGAAGAAAATAAAACAACACAGGAGATTCAGAATACATCCATACAACTCAAACAACTCAGATCCATGGAACTAAAGGAGAAATTGAGGAAGAAACCACGAACCCTAGCACGGAATCCCCGATACACCTCAACGTCACATCCAAAGCGCCTCTTGAACAACATTGATGAGACGAGAAAAACACACAACAGAAGATTCAAAATACATACAAACAACTAAAATAACTCAATCCATGGAACAAAAGGAGAAAACGAAGAGGAAATCACAAACCCTAGCCCGTCAGCTCAATCGCCGCCTCAAGGCCGCTCAGCGTCACCTCTAGGAGCTCCACTCACAATCAAGGAACTCAAACGCATGCGGAAATGAAGCGGTGGACTCTGGACTCCTTTTTAAACCAAAGAAGGAGGCACGACTCCCAAAAAATCAAAACAAGAGGCATGCATAAGATGGACCCACATGTAAGAGACATATCAAAGCAAAAAGAAGAGCAGATGGCGTGAGATGAGAGAGAGAGAGATCTGGACGGCTACCGTAATCGAGTGACACATCCAAATAAAATGCGCGAGAGAGAGAAATGATTTTTGAAAAAAACGAAATTCAAACGTAGCCTCCGAAAAAAGTTACATCAAAGTTTCGCCCCCGTTTGGCGGGCTCCCGCGTCTTCGGCTCCTACACGGTAGCGACATCAGAAGCCGGGCTGTTGGAGCCAGAAAAACGAAAGCTCCGGCCCGGCGTGTCAGTGAGAGAGAAAAGGAGGAGAGAGAAGAAACAAATTCGATGAACCGTGCATGTACAGTGATCGGCAGCGGGAGCCGGAGCCGTCACGGATCCTCATCCTCATCTCAATCCATTCGGGCCAGTGTCCTTCCTTTTTATAAGCGCGCAACTGACGCACTCCCCTCTCCCTCGCGGCCTCACCGTCCCCAAAGCGGCAAAGCGAGAAGAAAATAATCCCCAATTACCGACATCGAACGCCGACGGCGATGTCCCTCCGCAGCGCCAGCGCTCGGCGAGCAGCTCCCGCCTCGCCGCCTTCTGCTCGCCGCCGTCCCTCCGCCTCCCTCATATACTTCCAGCTCTCCCGACCCGCTTACCTTCCCCAACGCCGACGTCTTCCTCCGCCTCCACCTCGACCCTCCTCTCCCGACGACGTGGACGCCATGCCCGACATCGATTGCCACCTCTCCGCCGCCTCCTCCGGAACCTTCCTCGACCTGCACGTCTCGTCTGCGTCCTCCTCCGCTCCCGCTACTTCGCCGCCCTCCTCTCCGACCGCTGGCCCACCGCCGCGAGTGGCCGTCTCTCCCTCGCGGTGGTGGCGCCCCCCTCTTGCCCCCGCCCGTTCGACGCCCACATCCAGGTGCTCCGCCTCCTCCACACTCTCGATTTCACGGGCGCCATCCGCTCCCCCGGCGATGCCCTCGACCTCCTCCCCGTCGCGCTCCTGCTCCTCTTCGACGCCTGCGTCGAGGCTTGCATCCGCTTCCTCGAGGCCGTGCCCTGGTCCGAGGACGAGGAGGCCCGCGTCATTGACCTGGCGCGGCTCCTCCCCGCCGATGAGGCAGCCGACCTGCTCGCCAGGGTTTCTCCTCCCCCCGTCGCCGCTGGTCCTTCTTCCGCTGCGGGGGTGGCCGCCAGGTCGCCCTCCGAGGCGATGCTGCACGGCCTGATCCACTCGGCGATCCATGGCCACCCCGTCCACGCTGCCACCAAGGCGTTCGTAGCGATGCTCCTTAAGGACTACCCGTCGCGGGACTGCGTCCACAAGGTGCTCGACGAGGCATTTCAGTCGCGCCTGGACACAGTCAAGGAGCTCATGGGGAAGTACGCAAGCCCGGACTTCAGGGTTGCGGTGGACAGTGATGAACGCGAGGCCATTCAGAGGCTTAACCTGCAGTCTGCGGTGTTGAACGTGAAGCATCTGTATTGGCTCATCGAGAGGATGGTCGATCTGAGGGTGGCGGATAATGCGGTGATGCTGTGGAGTGATCAGGCTGCCCTGGCTACTGATTTGCAGAAGTTGCTGAATGATGCAGACATGTGGCGGAACATGACGCCTGGGCTTCCAATGCTTGTGACCAGATGCACACTCAGGCTCTCCAATTCAGTCATCACTGGGGAGACTCTTGTACCTCGGCAGGTTAGTCTGCTAACTGATAATCTTTCTATTACAGCAACTTTATGCATGCTGTATCTTGTGAAGGTAAATTACTATATTATAGTATAAATGCACGTGCGGCACACACGTGGCCATAAGAATATTTTGTAACCGTCTAAGATTTAAAGATTTTTCAGGAATTTTTAGGAATTTTCAATAAGGAAAGCTTAAGAATTAAAAAGGAAAGCTCTACCACACTGACTACAAAACGATTGAGCTGGAGTGAGCCGAGTCACAACCACAAGCCTGGAATTCGTTCTCAAACTACACAGAACTACATGTCATTTCATTAAGGAGATAAAAATACAACGGAAAGAGGCGATTCCCTGAATAATCTTGACATGTCATACAATTATCTTGGAAGGGCAATTTCAACATAGGTATTTCTAGCTTGAAACAAGTTACATGCGAAAACATCTCTCTGCAATTGATAAATAAAAATGAACCTTTTTGACCATAAATTCTCTGATCCATTAGTAGTACAAGGAGATTAAATAAACTAAGCTCACTGGTTGAATCGATTATTATTTAACACTAAACAAGATGGTCCTCAAAACAATTACCAAGGAGCAAGCACATCTTCACATCGATCCGGACAAAATATCCTATGAAATAGTAAGACATGGTTATGATCCACGTATTTTGCACATGATTTTCCTTTTTTTTCTTGGTAGATGCACAAAAGTCAGAACAAAATCTCTTCTGAGTCTCCCTCCATCTTCAGCTTCATTGATGCCAACCACCCTTGAGCTTCTGCCGTAACACTACATGAACCCAGAAATTTAACCATCATGCTGCAAGGTTCTTAGTATGTTATTTCCCTGCAAGCATTTCAGAATGAGAGTGTATGGAACAGAGTAAGAGAGTTTAAAATTTTACAATACATCATTAGCAGAGCCAGTGCATCGACAAAATTATTTACTCGGCAAAATTTCGACAAAACAATTAATGCAGCTGTGTAATGGAAAATATGGAAGATATTGATGGGATGGGATAAGGGCAGAATGTTCTCGAACTACCAAACATGATCCACCACCTATTAATTCATTAATCTATTTGTTTAATCTATTTGCCTTGGTAGTGGATGAGGTTACTAGGAACATACAAGGGGATATCCCTTGGTGTATGTTGTTCGCTGATGATGTAGTGTTAGTGGACGAAAGCCAGACGGGAGTAAATAGGAAACCAGAGTTATGGCGGCAGACCCTTGAGTCTAAAGGTTTTAGATTGAGCAAAACTAAAACCGAATACATGAGATGCGGCTTTGGCGGAGTTGTACTGGAGGAGGGAGATGTGAGTTTGGAAGGTCAAGTAGTGCCTAAGAAGGATACCTTTCGGTATCTGGGATCGATGCTACAGAGGGATGGAGATATTGATGCGGACGTTAGCCATAGAATCCAAGCAGGGTGGATCAAGTGGCGACAAGCTTTTGGCATTCTCTGTGACAAGAGGGTACCACAAAAGCTAAAAGGCAAGTTCTATAGAACGGCGATTAGACCGGCTATGTTGTATGGAGCAGAATGTTGGCCTACAAAGATTCGACATGTTCAACAACTGAGTGTTGTAGAAATGCGTATGTTGCGATGGATTTGCGGACTTGCGGTCACACAAGAATGGACCGTGTTCGGAATGATGATATACGTGATCGCCTAGAGGTAGCACCAATTGAAGAAAAGCTTGTCCAACATCGGTTGAGGTGGTTTGGCCATGTCCAAAGGAGACCTCCAGAGGCACCAGTGCATTGTGGAGTCCTAAGCCAAGCTAATAATATGAGAAGAGGTAGAGGAAGACCGAAATTGACATGGGGGGAGGCAATAAAAAGAGATTTGAAAGCTTGGGATATACCTAGAGATCTATGTTTGAATAGGAGTACTTGTAAAGCAGCTATTGAAGTGCCTGAACCGTGACTTGGGGCTCTTGGTGGGTTTCAACTCTAGCCTACCCTAACTTGCTTGGGACTGAAAGGCTATGTTGTTGTTGTTGTTGTATCAACAACTGAGGAACTGAATTTCCAGATGTAAAACTCGATCAGATTGATCCAACCACAAAAATCAGTGTTAGTTTCAACAGATAGCAATTCTATACTAAGTCCTGAGCCCAACCAAATTGAAATACCCACCATTTCATTCCCCCAACCCCCCCTCTGCTGGAGGCCTAGCTGCTCATACTATGGATGCCCCAATTCGAACTTCACCTCACATTTAGCACCTAACAGGGAACAGTTTTTTTTTTAAACCAGATAATAACCGAGTAAACAATTATAACATAATAAATAAGCAGCAATCAAAGACAGTACCAGCAGGGCAAGACGTTTGATCAGTTCATATACAACTACTGTGACTTATTTATAAGGATAACACCGCAGGGCTGAATTGCTGAGTCATGGTAATTTAATTCAGAATAATATCTTACCTCCCCTCCTAGGAGAGCAAAATCTGATTGTTTTTTTTTTGTCTTTTGTAGTCAGTGCAACCTGATTGTTCACACCCATCCACAATCCCATTGATAACCTACATAAAATTTATGAAGTACTTATGGGTAAAATCAAAAAGTTACATGAGCAGAAGACCAAGAAAACAATTATGAGAAGGGCAAATTTTATTTTGTTTCAGTGAGAAAATAAAGTGGCAGCACCTTCTCTGCAAGATCAACATCAAGCTTACTTGTTGCATAGTAATCTAGGAAGAACAACTGTTTTTCACCCCAAGTTACGATGTCATTGATGAACATTGCCACCTGCCACAATGGCCTAAATCCATTCAGTTCAGTCAACTTATGACAGAGATAAGGAAAACAACCTTACATTGCAGCTAATCTCTTACCAGGTCAATGGCGACCGTATCATGAATACCAGTTTTGAAAGCAAGCATCAGCTTTATGCCCAGTTAGTCAGTGCTAGCAACAAGAAAATCGTCCCCTGTTCAGATAAAACAACAGGAAAGCAAAGTTTCACAAAGTGCGGCATAAGGATCACGGAATTGATATTATTGCTGCATCGAGTGAGAACTGAGAAACAGCAAATAAACCATCCAACTACATGGTGCATACTTCTACAATTCTTGCACAATATTCAATCCATTAAAATAACTTTGAAATGTACACCAGATCACCAGATGACAAGACACTGAATAATGCTTATTTATCCGGAAACAGTATGTTCCTCCTAACAAATATTGCAAGCATAAAAGAACTCTACTGGGAAGGGGAGATGGACCCCCATCGACGCCTCTGCCGCCCCCACGATGGGGCGACTTTCGGGCCTGCCCCTCGCCCGCCGCCTCCCTCTCACCCTCTCTCTCTCTCGTTGCATGCGCCACCGCACGAGTCGGTTGCCGCATGCATGGCCACCCCGCCAGTTGTGATGGTGGCGGCGGGCTCTCCTCCTTGTGTTGGATACAAGACTGCAAGCAGAAGTTTGATGGTCCGCCCCGCGACCGGGCGTGGAGGTTGACGAGGTACGCTATGGCCGCTCTTTGCTGCCTTGGCCGTGTGTCCGTGGCAGCGCAGGGGGGCGGCGAGGTCTTCTTCTCCGTTCCCTCTCTCTCTTGATGGCGGCGGCTGGCCGAGGCCGGCCGGTCCCGGCTCCGGGTCGGCCGATCCGGACCCTAGGCTGCCGGATCTGTCTTTGGCGGCGGCGGCGATGGTCGGGCCCATGCATGTGTCTTTGGGGCGGTGCTTTTTCTTGTTGTCCCTCCCTCATGGCCTTTACGCCGCTGCGTCAGGGTCGGTGTGCGCCCGGCAACACCTCTGCCGCCCTGCTGCCATGGCGCGCATCGTCTGGCGCCAAGGTGAACGGTGTTCTGACTATGGTCAAGACGAGGCGTCGGTGTCGGCGGGGGGCGCCGGATTCGGGGCTGGCGTCCGGATTCGGGCGGCCCCAGGATACGGGGCGAGCCCGACATGGTGGGGGGAACACATGGCGGTGATGATGGCAGCGACATCGGCAGTGCGTGAGCCGATGACGTTGGTCAAATGCGGCCTCGGCGTGTGGGGTGTGACGCGAGCAGCAGAAGTCAGTCCGGCTCTGCGGGTCGGCCGGAGGGGGTGGCGGACGACGCGGCGGTGTCTTGGCGCACGTCGCATGCCGGCTCGTCGATGCCCTCTTAAGGGCTTCCGTGGGGCACCGGACAATGGCGATGGCGGTGAAAGGTCGGCACGGGTCCGGCTTCGCAACCCGACGAGTGTGCTAGAGGGTTCTTGGCCGAAAGCCTTGGCGATGGCGACGCCGTTGGGCGCCGCTTCCCTGTTGGGGGCGTCGTATTTCCCCACTAGCATGTCTTCCAAAGGTGAAAACTCAGTCCACTTTGGACGTGCGGCGGTGACGCCATTGGTTTATTGTCGCGGTTTCGATGCGGGGCGATGGTTTGCGTTTGGAAGTCGGAGCTGCTCTTCGGTGTTTGAGCTTGGCAACGATGACCGGTGGCGGCCATTAGCTTCAGACCTGTCGGGGGGTGACTAGTGGGTGGCCTGCCATGGGAAGTCGGAGCTGCTGGCAGCTTGGCTTCCATGCTCGGCAACGATGACCCATGGCAGTGTGTCGTGTTTGTGCTCAGTTGCGTCGCGTGGGGTGGTTAGCCGTTCGGGTGCCTTTCTGGCATCTCGTCCGGCTAACCTTCTTGTACATAATATTCTTTCGGCTTATTTGAGCGGCAGAGCTCCTGCCTTTTGTTTCAAAAAAAAAGGGGGGAGACTGCCCCCGTGTGGCATTGCATTAAGAAGAAACTTCTCACACGCAGACCAAAAAAAGGCACCTCATAGAGTTTGGAATCCAAATTTAGATCTGAAACAAATAACAACATGTGCAGGCCTGAAACCAAAATTCACAAAACAATTGTGATTTGAGAGCCTTTTTTCCACTGTATAAATAGACCGGTGCGCTTTACCTATTATTATATATATAGATGAGAAGAGCATAACCAAATAAAATGACATTAGGCCTTTATGTTTAAAGTTATGGTAGCCTGATAGGCGACGTCCTAATAAGCAAGGTATCTGAACCATCTTCTTTTGGGGGTTTGGTTCATCTAAATCATTCTCTGCTGGTAGAAAATACAAAGGAAGCATATCAGTAAATTTATAATTACAAAGCCTGCCAACATCTTTAAAAAATAAGTAAAAAATATACCTTCTACAGATTCAAACATTCTCCAATCCAGAAATTGAGCATAGGACTGAAAAGTTTCAGGTTTATAAACATAACAATTTAACTCAATGAACATGAAGACCTCAAGAGTGCCTCCGGTTTGTCCATGGCGCCCGATCGAAGGCTCGCAGGCCACTGTCGTAGCCAGCACCACCACCAGCGAGGCCGCAATAAGAACCAGATCAAAACCAGAGACCTGAAGGGGCCATAGGGGATGGAGTGAGATCCGGACCTTGGCGCGGTTAGGGGCTACGACGACGCGACCTCGTCACCCGCTCCCGGACACACCGTCGCGTCCTCCGCGGGCACCGGCGCTGACAATGCCGGGCGCGCTTCTCCTCCTCCTCCCCTGCCGGGCGCCGAAGGGGTTGCCGACCTGAGAGGCCCTAGATGTGCACCACGAGGGCCTCGGGGACTCCATTAGTAAGCGCCACCATCCGCCGATAGGGCTTGGGGTTTCGTGACACGCCGGGCTTGTCGATCTGCAAGTCGAGGGCCTCGTGGACTCCATCAAGGCGTCGCCATCTGCCGATAGGGCTCGGGGTTTCGCGTCCACCGGGCTTGTCGATCTGGAAGCTGGGAACCGCATCTCGTGCCGCCGCTGGAATTGAGAGGTCGACGCTGCCGAGGGAAGGAAAGGCGAGGTTGCCGGGGATTGGCGGCGCTGATGGGAACGAAAGGACAACACCCATGGAAGGAGGCGCCGATGCCACGGATGCGGAAGGCATCGTAACTGCAACACCGTGGCCCGTGGGTACGCTTGGGCGGGTAAGGGAGGGCATCAGAATCGCATCATGGCCCGTGGCTCATGGGTACGCTGGGCGGGTAAACAAGTCGCTGGTGAAAAAAAACAAGCGTGGGGAGGGTGGCGGACAGGAACGTAAGATCTCACGCGTAAGGCATCTTACGGCCCCACTCTAAGATTAATTAGGGCCATCAGATTTAAAAACTCAAGTCATCCAATGGTTCTCATGTAAGATGGGTAAGAAAATTTTGGGTAAAAAGATATTTTCAATTTCTTCGCTCCTTTATAGTATAGATAAATGTGACGATTCAGATAGAACTTAGAAGATGCTACCTGCGTGTGATTTCCTTCTGTTGAAAAGCAGTTGATAATAGGTTGCATATGTCAACATAATACCATGCTCTGTTAGAATGGTTTAACTTGCCGCAGCTTATAAGACTTATTAATTGAATGCTCCTTTATTTATAAGCCAATGGCTGTGTTTTCTGCATCTTTCCTCTTAATACAAAGTAGCACCTAATGTTCAATTGTTTATAGGTAAGCCTGAAAAGCCCAGCCAGGACTTGCATAAGTTGCATACCATTTTTGTCGATACGTCTCAGTACAATCAAAATAGGTTCTATATTGTGCTGATACACTGTTGTCTTGCAAGATAACTTTGTTGATATGTAATGTAATGTATTTTGATTTATCTGAGTATATTCTCTTGAGAAGTTCTAGATTGATACTTCAGTCCTAGGGTTGTTTGAGCTCCTGAATTGTAGTGGAATCTACTTCCACTTAATATAATGGATAGACGAACAAGGTAGCACAGATTTGTTGGAGTACTCCCTCCAATTATAATAGTGCATCAGTGTGGACACCGACATGGCCACCGACATACTACTTTGACCACTAATTACTAGCACGATATATTGTAATCTTATCCTATTCTTTATGGTTAGTTTATTTAATTCAAGCAACATGTTGTGTGGTGACTCCATATGATTATCATGCTATCAAGGCCTCACTGGGTATCTCTGTTGGTTGTAATCTAAGAACACCACATGGTCTCTACCACATTGTTTGGTAATTAGGGTTTGTAGTATTTACCCCTAAATCAGATTTTTGTGAGGTGTTTGGTAGTGTATCAAATCAGAGTGCAAAGCCGCCTTTTATGAGTATGTATTGATATATTGATTAGCTTGTGTCTTATTTATGGGCATTAATTGGATTAATAGGTTGTGAACAAGATTAATCAGTGACAGGTTGGACTGATGAAAGCGTTAATACTTAAAAGAGTGATCTATGTTTGACGTGAGTTTAAGTGCTAAATTAACCAATTATCAATGTTGTTGATTGCATTGTCATGTTTTGGTAATAGTAATACAGCTTGTACAAGTGTTTTAACGTTGACTTAAGAGCTTGATTACCTATTTGCATGAATATATAGTAACGATTCCAATAAGGAATCAATTTACAGATATTTAAATGTGATTATTGTTGGAGTTATTGATGGTCAAGAGCTGAAAGAAAGACAAGAGGATGGTAGGAATTAAACACGAATCTGGATTGAATTCAGACCAAAAGGTTTATGCTACATGCAAAAAAAGAAAAAAGAGAAATAAAGAAAAACTTTAATCTAGGAGCTGATTTCAGAGATAAGAGGGTCAGGATTGTTGAATGCTTTAATAATTTATTGCTTTACTTAAGGAGTCTGATGAGATAAATGGGCCTAGTATATTTGCTTCAGTAGAGTTGGTCTGAAACATTTGGCCACATTGTGGGCCAACTATTAGTGGTTTCTTGCGTGAGCCCTTGGTCGTTTTGTCTGCTCATTTCACCTCTTATCCAATTGCTTCTTCTAAAAACGCAGCATTGGTTAATCTTTCGTATTCTCCCTTTGGGGTTCCTTACGTTTCTAGTAATAGAAAGAGTTCAGACCTTGCTCATACAATCCTCGGGACTACTATTGCTTAATCTTTGTCCTCCCTATAGAAAGTGAACAAGACGATACAACTGAATAAAATCTGACTGAATATTTTTGCTAGGTCGTCCAGCAAACTAAAACGCTCAGATCTGCTTACAGATTTGTCAGCAAGGCTACATCACTGCCAATCTCTAAAAAGAAACACCTCCAGTATTTTTGTCATCATAAAATCTAATCGTTGCATGAAGGCCCCAAACTAATTATATCCAAGGACGTGCTTGCTTTTCTAATCTTAAGCAAGTTGTTGGTCTTTCCCCACAAAAGGCTTTCCCAGAATTATGCACTCTCCAATTCTCCGTGGTTGCCCTTTTTGTTACATGATTAAATATCTACATCATGTTTGCCAGTAAACAAAGCAGTATCTAGCTGCAGGTTATAGTGTTTAGTTTGCTGAAGGGGCTACTCTGTAGGTTTCTACCAAAAACGCTCGTTGTACGCTTTGCTAAAATTACAAAGGTTGTAACTGGTTTTCAGGAATAACTAAGGAGTCCTCTTACTGTTACTAGTACTATATGCTAAAGATGACAGTTCAAATTGTCGAACTGGATCTTTATATATTTGGCACGTTATGCTCCAGTAGCCTCCTGCCTGTGGATTGTTTTTTTTTTGTTTCGATGAAGCACAAGTCTTTCAATTAGCGACATCTCTGTTTCTTATGCTATTATCATGCACATGCACTGATGTTCATTTGTTTCCTTGTATCGTTCATCCACAGTTTATGGTCTGGCCTCTGTGGGCCTTCTGATTCTGGCTTAAATGTTGGAATGTCTCTAAAGATGAAACTATGATACACTTTAGATGGTATAGGTCTCATGGTTCGCTGCATCCATACTGTTTGTACTTATTTCTCAATAGAAAATTCTCTTTCCAGTTCTATTCCATCTGTGCATCTGCGGTTTATGTATCTACCGACTGGTGTTTCCTTTGAGCAATGCAGCAGGCTTGCACTTTGGTATCTTATTCTTGTCAAACGGAACCTGCTATCTCAATTCTTCGATTGCATTTGAATGTTGCAAGCTTCTTGATAATCAGCTTATGAAGTTGCGTTTCTCTGTGTATCTGAAACTGTTCTACATGTCTTTTCATCAGGTGAGGATGATGCTTGTCAAAAGCTGGCTCCCTGTCCTAAACGTCTGCCGGGACATTGTTCAACCAATGCACTTCCAGAAATCAACCAACTGCCAAGAGCTGGAGGAGGCGTTTCTTCAGATCATCTCCACCTTGCCTGTCCCAGAAGCCCAGGAGTTGCTGCAGCAATGCCTGGGGTTCTCCACCCGCAATGTTGACGACTGCCCGCATCTGGTCGCCGCGTTCAAGACGTGGTTCCGGCGCGCTGGCCGGCCTCCTCTGGGCGGGGAAAACTGAGACATGAGCGGATGTCTGTATCGCCCAATCAGTGCGTGTGTCGCTGTGTACTCTCACATGTAGTCAGCTGTAGGCCTACCTACATCCTCTGGATTTGGTATAGTGCTTGCATCTCTGTTTTTTTTTCAAGACTGTATATATTGTCTGAAGTTTGTTCCCTTAACTGTCCCTACTCGTTTTAGCTAATAAACAAGGTAAAGGTATGCAGCGTATGCTCCGTGTTTTAACTCTCAAAATGATGTCTGCGTGCTTTTTTCACTCAATGTGCAGTGTTTGATGACTGCAGTAATATTTCCAGAGTACTGCAACTGGTTGTGAAATTTGCTCTCTACAGTCTAAAAAGATAAGTTGTGAAATACGTGAAGAAGATACGTCAGAAATTTTCTGATTATTTGGACACAAGATATCGAAGAAAGAGGATGCAATTAAGAAGCTGTGGAAGCGAAGCTGGCAACAAATCGACCCTGGCGCGCTACTAAAAAGAGCATATATGTTTTTTTTAATATGCGGCACCACTAAAAAGAGCATAAATGTTTATTTTTTTGGTAAGGGTAAGTGGCAACCACTAACAGCCTGTTCGGTTGGCTGGTTCGTTTCGTCGCTGGTTCGTGAAGAAGTACTGCTGGCTGGTTTGTGTGAGAGAAAAATACTATTCCGGCTGGAAATTTACGATCGTTTACGATAAGCCACAACCAAACGAACAAGTTGTAAAAAGAGCATAATGTTCTTTTTTTTGTAAAGATATGTGGTAATTCTTAGGCTCTTTAGTGGCAAAAACAAATTTACCCATGTCATGGTGCATCAGCACCGGGAAGCTGAAAGCTGAGCGTGGCGTGAGTCGCCCTCAAAATATATTGCCTTGCAGATCATTACATTGTTACCGTACAGTACATCGCAAAAAGCATGCCAGGTTTGTCCTCGTCATTTATGTCCGTGCATTGACATGGCAAACCCACATTGACATTGGCACATTGCAAACCCACACCGAAAAGAAGGAAAATGGGGGCAAAAAAAAAAAGAAAAGAGAGACTGAAGCAGCCAACACATGGGTGATGGGTCAGAGACGCGTCATGACTCATGACTAATGGTTTTACTTTTGCTGACGAGGAGACTGGGAAAATGATAACCTCGGCGCACGCAAGGGCGCGCTAGTAGAAGCCCTGCACCGGCCACCGGCGGTCGGGGTCCGGCAGCCAGGACGACCGCTTATTCTTCTTCTTGTCCTTCTTCCCTTCCTCGCCGTCCTCGGAGCTCCTGGAGTCGCCGTCAGACCCGGCGCCGCACCCACCGGCCCCTGCCCCAGCTGCGCCGCCCGACCTGTTCCTTGACCGCACGTACTCGATCAGCCTCCACGCCGCCGGCTTCTGCTGCGGCGGCACTGGCGGCGGCGGGGACGCCGCCCCCTGCTTGGCCAGCGCCTGCGCCTTCTGCTGCTGCTGCTCCTCTGCAGCCAGCAGAGCCGGAGGCGGGTTGTTGGCATCGTCGTCGTCAGCGTCGTCGTGGAGGGGCGCGGACTGGGACAGGCGCTCGTAGTCCGGCAGCGGCACGGTGTCCTCCAACGTGCCGTCCCCGTCGCCGCCGACGACGCAGTCCATGAGCAGCAGGTGCTGGTGGCTGCCGCCGGACCTCCGCTTCCGCCGCCGCGCGCCGAGCCTGGAGCCTGGCCTGCCGCTGCTGGTGGCGTACCGGCCCCGCTCCTCCTCCTCATCGTCCGAGTGATCCAGGGCGTCCATATTTAACGAGCTCCTTGGCGCCACAAACCATGCAAGAGCAAAACCCCTCCCTCTCGTTGCTCGTTGGGAGGCTAAAAATCCCTTGCAAGTGCCCTGGCGGCCTGGGGATCCTCTCTCTCTCTCTGCTCGTTGGGATTGGGAGGATAAATCCGCTGCAAGCGCGGGGGCCTATGGGTACGCCCAACTCCCAAAGGGACGCAGAAACTAGCAACAGGGAATGGATATTCCATTCAGAGGAAAAGTTTGACGAGAAGTGCTGCAGTCCGGCCCGGCTGATCGCGTTGACCTGAGCTGGTGGTTGACCTGGAGAAGGTGCGTGGTGGCGTCGTGGCTGCACGGGTCCACTGGGTTACGTGTCGCCCAGGACGACGGGTGGGTCCCGCGGTGCAGTGAGAGAATGCGTACTGTTCGATGCTTTTTCGCCGCGAGAAAAAAAACGTACTGGATCCCTCATAGTTTTTTATAATCTGGTTTTGGAAACTTGGTGAGATCCAAACAACTTAGTTTTTGCTCAGTTTCTTGTGCAAGTTTTTGTTAGATTTTTAAAAATCAAGAAGCTGTTGATATTCAGCTTTTGCCAGTTTCCTATGGCCCAAAGAGCAATAAATAAAGTAAAAACTGGGGATCCAAACATCACTGCTAGTTTTTTTCCTCAAAATCTAGATTTTAGAAACTAGATGCAAAAACTGGTTCTTAAGAATCCAAAACTAGTTCAAACGGGGAATATTTCAAAGCTCAAGACCACTATAAATGAGCGGATGGAGCTGAAATATCAGCTAAAAAGTTGCTATTCAGAGGGCGGTTCACTGGAAACTATCCCCAGGTGCAGGTGCAGGTGCAGGCAGGCATATAAATACCTGTTTATATATTTATTAACTCACAAGTCATAACATTGATCTAGGGCTAGATAGAGCTTCTCGTAAGCCAAATTGGATTTTGCATACTGATCGTGGTCCCTTAAAATGCATCGTCCTGCTGAACACCACTCAATTACGGCGACTATTATATACACAAATACAAGAGAACGAGAGATGGCCCATGTTGCAGGCAAGCTGCACAAATTTACTTTTCAAATGTAGTGCTAGTGCCCCCAATTTCAAGAAGATTCCTCCTTGAAGGCACATAATCAACATTTCAAAACATTGGTAATCCAATTACTAGACTATAAGACTATTCGTTCATGTTTGTTATTACTGTCACTGATTAGGCGCCAGCTCCGTTAAAACTTGCTGAATTTTGGCTGAAACCATTTGAAAAATCGTTTCTAAATTTGAATTGTTGTGAGAGAAAAACACTGCTTCCTACTGAAAAAAAAGTCGAAACAATTTGGATCTGAGGTAAGAAAGCGAGACGGGGCCGACGCGACACAGTCCCTAACAATTGAAATTCTGCACCTGTGCTCACGGAGTCACGGGTCAAATTCTGCGCTAGTAGTGCTCGTGAATTGAATTGTACTAGGTATAAAAACTTGATCGCCTACATCAACAAAGGTTCTGTAAAAATGTTTAATGAACTTATGAACAGAACTACAACGCCGCTAGTGTCGCCGACTCCTGACTCGCTTCTGGATATAAGTTTCTGACCATTTTCTGGTATGGTAGTGCTTTTAGTCCTGCCTATAACTCTGTGCCTGTTCGGACTAACTATTCTGTTCTGGTGACATTTGTAGTGTAGTTTGACATCAAGCTGTGTATATACGAATAGTTCGCAAATCCTCTAGTAGAAATGTGTACGTGTGGCCTGAATTGTACTTCCTTTATTCCAAAAAAAATCTAAATGCATTTTTTTTTGTTAAAGTATTATAAGTTTGAAAAATATATAGATAAAAATATTAATGTTTATGATACAAAACAGGCATATTATAAAAAGTATATCTCACAAAAAAATTAATGTTATCTATATTATAAATATTGGTATTTTGTAAATATATAATCAGTCAAATTTAATATACTTTAATTTGATAGCGCTGTGTTAACAAAAGAGCATGCGTCATGCGTGTAGTGTACTCACACCTCACAATTAAAAAAAAAATTACAATTCTATTACCTGGCCCGGTGGAGAGGCGGAAAAAACAATCTCTGTCCTTTTGCTGCAGCTGTCCTGTTCCTTATCTGACGTCGATCGCAGTATAGCAGCACCCTTCCATCTCGTGGTCTCGGTGGTGCGATGCAACTATGCAAGTCAGCGAAGGCGAAGCGACGTCAAGAGCGCCGTCCCATCCACCAAAACAATTAAAAGCACGCGACCGATCGGTACAATTCTAGAAGCCCCTCCCTTGCCTGCCTCTCATCACAAGTGCGTTGATTCTTGCTCCCACAAGAGGACAACGAGCGAGAAGAGGGAGGAAAATTCCAGTCCAACTCGTTTTCTTCTTCTTCCGTCCCCGTCCCCGTCGCCGGCGCCGGCCCATGGCTAGTCGTCTTTCCGCCATTGCGTGACTCGCAGGTTCCTGGACTGTGGCCTCAGCTGCCGGGCTTCCTTGCCTGTCCTGAGTATCCTGCTGGTATGGAGCCTTTCTCGATCCCCCTCTTCTGTTCCTCTTCTTCTAGTGTCCGCGTCGATAGCAAACTGGTCTGGTTATCTCTACTTGTTTTTGTTTCCTTTGGTCTTGGAAGATCAGAGGTTTGTTTATTTAGTTGTGGCCGTCAATCTAATAATAAAGCCCCTGTTCTGGCACAATACTGCTTCTCTGTTCTTTGTTTATACCGGAAGTCGGCAAGTGATATGAGAATCAAGATTTGTCTTTTGAGGAAACGCCGAGATCTTGATGCCTACCTCTACCTGTACAATTCATGTTCTTGTTGGTAATTTCGGCTTTGTCAGATGTGTCATTTCCTCTTCGAATGATCTTGTTGAGCTGTTAGGTACAAGAGCCCTCTTTCCCCTTAACTCCTCCATAGTAGCAGCCCGGCCATTCAATAGGTTCTTTCCGTTTATGGAATGGAAAAAGTCTACAAAACCTAAATAGTTTGGGGGGATTATGTAGACTTTTTTCCATTCCTTTTAGCAGCCCCAGCCCCATAATGTAGGAGTATGTTCCTATCAGCAAACAGAAAAAATACATGGGCATGCCCTCAAAAGGGGCCAGGTACTTGTTCAGTTCCATTTTCCAACTGGATGCCAGGTCCCATGAATTACTTGTTTTTACATGTTTTTTTGTCTGTTATTATAGTTGGTTAGGACGCTACCTTGCCAAGGCATGCAATGACTCTGGCCTACAGAATAATAAAACCAGTCAATGATGATATAGTGCACCCAAAGGGGAAG